GGGAGGGGGGTTAACTGTTGGAGGTGAAAACTGCACCCCCAGTTTTCTCTAGTACAAACCGAGATCGCCGTAATTAAGCCCGGTTAACAATGGTAATGTGTTGAGAGAACTGGGCAGACAAACTCCTAGGCTGACCTAGGCCCATGAACGATTGAGTTGGTGGAAAGTTCCTGACAAAGTAAGGAAAGTTTCCACCTTCGATTCAGAGAAAAGGAAACTCTCTTGAATCCCATATCGGGAAAGGAACTCCTCTGAACCGACTTAAGGCATATATAAAAGGGAATAGGAATCGACATCAAAGGACACAGAAGAATCCGCAGAGACCTAGAGAAGGAGAGCTAATAGATATTCTAAGCATTTAATTCTCTAAGTCCTAGTTCGTTAAACGATTAGCTCGGAAACGAACTCAGTTGTATTTACTCTGATCTGATATCAATAAAACCGACTTCGATCTAAATTACTGTTTTGTCTGTTTATGTGATATTACAATTCAACAGACCTGACTGGTTTATACGCAGCGGTTACAGTTGCGAATGCGGGAGTTTGCGGAAGCGGGCGATTGCAGTTTTGAGCGTTATTAAGCGGTTTGCACGACTGGTTAAACTTTTTAAGGTTGATCTATTTGCGGGACATTTTTGACTGGCAAATCAGTAGATGTTTTAGCGGTTAAACATAATATTACCAAAATAAACATTAGATATAATTATAAAAAAAACATAAAAACTATATTATTTTGCTAAAAATCAAAATCACTAGTTCAAAATAATTAATAATAAGAATTTATAAATAAATACTAAATAATTATTTAAAAAACTAATAAATTTTAAAATAACATGTTTTATTTCAATTGTTGGGAACATCATACAAATCTATGTCTATTAATGTAATAAACTGGAAAAAAATTGTTCTAATACGTGAATCTTTTGGATTTGTCTTATCCGTGATGTAAAATTTCTTCAATTGATCTGATCGATTTTTTTCACGACCCCAACTCAAATTAACTTCAAATTGCTCAGTAATATTATTCAGAATACGTTATTTCTGGAGTGCACTCGAAAATCTAGGTTCTTTATTTTCAGTTTGTTTTTCTACAATGATCTGTTGAAGTAACGCACATGTCATCTCGTTTGACTATGTAACTTTCAGAAGAGTAAAAAAGAATTATAACAAACTAATTTTGTAATTAATTGTTTTTAACATGATCTTCCATTCTTTTTAATGTACATTGTTTTTTACCCAATCGTTATCGCCCGCAACCGCAAACGCTGACGAAAAATAACTTTCGGATTTCAGCGGTATAAAATGATATGGAGCGGTTTGCAATGATTTCTATGATTGTTATAAAACGCACTAACTACTACCAACCGCAAACGCAGCATTTGCGGGTGATAGTGGGTGATAGTGGGTGAATCAATCAACACCTTAAAATATGAATTAACCATTTTCCCGCACTAAGGATATAGAAATGACTTAGGTTACCTCTTGGCTCTATCACCGAGACTTCTTAAGCAAGTCGGGCGGGTAAAGAAAGAGGGATGGTCACAAGATTTAGTTCACAAGATTTGCATTTATATTTATTATTAGGAATGGTCACAAGAAGGATCACACATGCAGATGATACATTGAATGTGAGCCAAAAGTTACTAAATAATGGTTGAGGACTTGGTCTTTGCTTTATTGAATCCTATATGGACAGAGAGAGCTCAGAACATCTATTAAAAAAACACAAATGTACGGCTTGTTAATCTCGATATCTGTTTCCATCAATTTTTTTGTCGACTTTTCGTTTTATACGAAGGCCATAAACGGGTAAATTACAACAGTTTGTAGCCCAAGCTTTATAAATTACAACCCAATTATGACCTACATTCTAAGAAAATTTCCAACCCACCTCTATTTTTGACTCTAAATGCTATTTTAAAGAAAAATCATCTCTAATCCATCTCTATTTTTACCTCTAAAGTAGTATTTCTCTATTTTTTTTCTTCTATATTTAGAGTAACTTTATTTTTGACTCTAAAATAGAGTTGACCTCTTTTATTTATAAATTGGTCCTTTAATTTTTAAATTTTTTCATTTATGACTATAACAAACAATATAAGTTATATAAATTCAAATTTAACAATAAGACTTAACAGATTAATTTAAAATGTATTATATCTCAAAGAAAAATTCAAATTTTGATAGAACATTATACTCCTATTCATTTTGACACAGAAAAACACTAGTGATTTAATACACTAGTGACAAGATAAAAATATATAATTGTGATTTTAACCCAGAGTCTACTATATTTTTTATTTTTATTTGATGTAATGAATTTTAAATATCGAAATAACGTTTAATATAAATAATATCATAATATATAAAAGTTTTGCAAAGAATAAAATAAATGGGGTTAAACTGTATTTTTTTACAAATAAAAAATAGTAATAATAAAATAAAAATAGAATATATTTAGAATATTTTTGTTTAGAGGTAAAAATAGAAGAATACATTGGAGAGAAACCCACTTCTATTATAGAGTTCCTCTATTTTAAAGTAAAAAATAGAGGAATACATTGGATATGGTCTAAAGATAAGGATGATAAAAATAAAACATGTGTTAACACATGGAAGTCTGGGTGAATGCTGGTTGACGGTGAGAAGATGACGCCAACATCGTCGATATTCAGAGCTTTGCCGTAAAACCAGAACCTGAAGAGTCTCAATCATGACAAACTCCAATCGGGGCTACATTGTCCATGAAAACCGCTGCTTCTTTACCATTTAATTACTCTTCTATTGAGATTCAATGAGTAATTGTGGTCAGAAAACTATCTTCTTCATTAAGCTCGCCGCTGATCATCTTTACTCAAAACTCATCTCTTTTGCCATACAGGCTTCGATAGAGACTATGGGGAGATCTACTCCCAGGAAAGAGAAGATGACACCAAAATTGAAGAAGAAGAATCAGAACATTTACCACCGAATCTGAAGCACCGTCTCAAACTACAAGAGAACCCCAAATACAGAGGAGAATGGGCAGAATAATCCAATCACGTCGGAAGATTATTACCAGATTGAACCAGAGATTATTATCCGATTTACGGAAAAAAAGTTCTGATATTAATCAGAGTATGTACAATCGAGAGAAAAAGTACTCTCTCTCAATGATAGAAGTGAGAGAAGAGAGAGGAGAAAAGAATTCACTCCAGTTTCCATCAATTTTATTGGGTTGACGATTTATTTCCCCACGAGAAGTATCATATAGCATCAGATTCCCACCAAACTATGACCTCGTTGTATATACACATCAAAACAAATTTGGAAATCTATTTCTCCATCAATTGAAAATCTTAAACATATATCCACATAAACCAATTTTTCTGGTTATTATTTAAAAAACCGAAGTATAAACCGATAAAACCTGATCCTAAGCCAAAAAAACCGACCCGCATACGACACAATCCGACCCGATTTGTCTTCTTCTTCACCCGATTGTTTCCCAAATTATTTGCATTGCATTCAAGCTTAAACAATGACATTTCTCACAAAAACTGCATTACATTCACTTGGAAACTAAATATGAATCCCAATTTTCATTATTCTTTCGATGGAACAAATCACCAATCTAATACATCAACAACAACGAAAAACATAAATATCAGATTTTGATATAGTGATGTGAGACAGATCCTGCCATTTGAGAGCTTCAATGTCGGTCATCACTTCGTAGAGAGTTGGGGAAGCTGATGAAGGACTCCACTTTGATTCAGAGTTGAGCGAGAGTAGATTCAGTGCACGCCTCCACCGCCTCCACCTACAGATTTCTGGTAAAAGTCCATTAATGTAGTAGAAAAAAACAATATGAGAACCGAATTGAACTTTCCAGAATTGAAGCTGGGTTTCGAAATCTGGATATAATTTAGGTGATAATTTGTTAAGATCAGACCAACGTTTTGCTCAATTAAAAAGAAAACATATCGGGAGGAAGAAGATGGATGAGTTAGGTCGGTTTTACTGAGTTGGGTCGGTTTTTGGGTCGGGTTTGGTTGTAATCAGGATTGATTTCGGTTTAATATCAAATCTACACAGTTAACAATTGATTGATAAACAATAAACCAATTAAAACCAAATATTGTGGGGGTTTAAGGTTTCAAACTTTTTTTCGGTGATGATATAGATTTTAAACTTTTATTTTGTATGGATTTTTATCTTAAACTTTGTTTTGATGTATATCTAGAACGAGGTTATAGTTTGGTGAAGATCTGATGCTATATAATAGTTCTTATGGGGAAATAGATCGTCAGCCCAATTTCATTCGCTTTAAACTATTTTTCTTGTTCATTTTTTATAAAAAAAAAACTATTTTCTTGTACCCGTAATGGTTTTCTGGGCATTCGTTTTTTTAGTTCTCGTTTTCTTTTGGGTTGGATAAATGACACTGAATTAACCGAACCATAACCCGGTTGGTTTTGGTTCAAAAGTCGGTGTTTTGGTGTAATTTTATGTTCTGCAATGAACCGAATTCGGACTCATTCGGTTATTTCGGTTCCTTCTTAATTTCCGCAAGTTCAGTTTATTTGTCGGCTGGCTGAAAACAACGAAACAGAGACATTTACGGAAATCAGCGGATATTTTCAAGTCATCTACTTGGAAAGAAATTAGAGCTTTCGATGATCATGTATGGTTTAACACTTGAGTTTATTGTCTGTTGTGATGATTTGAGAGTGCTCTCGAGTCTCACCCCTAACCCTCACAAAGCCCTTTTGCCCGAAGACCAAGCAAGAAGACTAATTATTCCAAAAACAAAGGTTTAACGTGTTTGACAGTTCAACCTTTGGGAAACAAGGTCTCGAAACAAACTATACAAAATCCCATTTGATTCAATTATACGAAGCCTACAACTTCCGTTTTCAGAATTATACGCATTTCGAATCCCGTCTCAAAACTGTGCAACCTAAGGAAACTCGGAACAAAATTGCAAAGAACGCAGAAACATATGTAAGAAACACAACTTGAGGAATGGCAAATCATTAATAAAAGAGGGAAGAAATCTGAGTTTTACACGGCAGTAGCCGGAATGCAATCGAAAAGAAGAAGAAAAAAAGAAAACAGATAAAAAAAAACCCAGTAGCATCCACGATTGGGGAAAAGCAAACAAGGACAAGAATAGACGGCCTTAGAAAGCTTCGGGATAGCAAAAGGAAAGAGATTAGAAAAACAAACACCAACGCAAGAACATAATAATTTGATCGATTTAGGATAATACTGAATAACAAAGTAGGTCACAGTCTTAGGTCTCCTTCTGTTCTTCAGCAGGCTTTGGTGCTGCTGCTTCTTTGATCTCCTCTGTACCTTCATCCTGGTTAACATCAACACAATAGAATCATAAGGAAAAGGAAGAACAAATGGGTATGCAAAAGAATTATCATAATCCAAAACTAAACCATTTCATTTCAAAACCAATGATCTATGCGGTTTGACAATTACAGCATCATTGATTATCTTTTGAGAATGATTTCAGAAACAAAGAAGAAAATCATAAGCCATCATACCCATTTTCAGCAGTTTCTAGTTTTGATTGAAACACATAACAAAGAAAGGTTTCAAGGATCAACGATTAGTTTTTTACCTGCATGTCAGAAGTCCAGAGAGTAAGGTTATCACGGAGAAGCTGCATGATCAAGGTACTGTCCTTGTATGACTCCTCTCCTAGAGTATCCAACTCGGCGATTGCTTCATCAAACGCCTGTTAAATTTCCGAATTCAACTCGTTAAGCATACAAATCATGTAAATAACTCAAAACCCAATATATGTAAATGTTAGAACAGAGAGTTTTTTCGTCACCTGCTTAGCGAGATTGCAAGCACGGTCTGGAGAGTTGAGAATCTCGTAGTAAAAAACAGAGAAGTTCAAAGCCAGACCCAGACGGATCGGGTGTGTAGGAGGCAACTCGGTATTAGCAATGTCCTACAAAACACACAAAAAGTAATCATGATTTTGACCTTATAAACTAAAGAAAAACCATAGATCCCAACAAAATCAAGTCAGATCGGAGGAAGAAAGATACCTGAGCGGCTTTGTAAGCGGCGAGGGTGTGCTCGGCGGCATCTTTCCTCTCCTGACCGGTCTTAAACTCAGCCAAGTACCTGTGGTAATCTCCCTTCATCTTAAGGTAGAAAACCTTGGAATCTCCGTTAGCAGAGGCCGGGATAAGCCTGGTATCGAGAAGCTTGAGGATACCGTCGCAGATTTTGGAGAGCTCAGATTCGATCTTGCTTCTGTAGTCACGGATCGTGGTGACGTGGTCATCGTTGCCGCGGCTCTCTTCCTTTTGCTCGATGGAGGAGATGATACGCCAGGAGGCACGACGAGCGCCGATTACGTTTTTGTAAGCGACGGAGAGAAGGTTTCGTTCCTCGACGGTGAGTTCGTCTTTGTCGACGGCTTCAGCGACTTTCTCCATGAATTCAACCATCTCCTCGTATCGCTCCGCTTGCTCGGCGAGCTTCGCTAGGTAAACAAACTCCTCCCTAGCCGAGGATGATGCTGGTACTGCCGCCATTTCTTCTCTTCTTTGTTGTTAGATCGGAGACGAAGAGGAAGGATTCAGATCTGAGAACGAGAGAAAGAGAGAGAGACTTTTGGTTTTCGAATTTCAATTTTTTTTTTCTTCTGGGCTCTAGAAAAGATATTTTTGTTTTTTTTTTGGTTAGTGGGGAGCGACGATTGCGAAGGGAGATTGAATGAGAACCGTTGGATTTAATATGTGAGAAGGAGAGACCGAGAGAGCACACGGGAATTTTGACCCCAACGAAAACAGCTTTTCTGCCTATTCTGATACTTTTGGGGCAGTTTTTAATATTTTTCAATGTTTAAAAAATTATTAACTTCTGACCCAAAAAAAAAATAAGAAAAATTGTTAAACTTTTGTTTTTTATATACCCTATCCCCCGGTAAGAAGATACCAAAGTACTTTATATTGGATTTTTAACGTTGGTTTAACGGTTAATAAACACTATAAGCTCTAAATAGATTTGCAATCAACTGCCATGAAATCCAACGGTTTACCACACTACATGTTTCAAATTTAAAATGTTTTTTTTACTAATTCTACGAGTAGTCGAATTGCCTGTTATCGACTACTAATGTAAACTACATGGGCGTACAGACCTCTTATTATTTTAAACTACTAGTTATCTACAATTGCAGTTAGAAATTCCAAGCATTTTGCTTCCTTTAAAGGATCTCTTTTCAGTTGCTACACCAGCTTTCAAAATGAATCTTATTAGTATTATTGTAACATGTTACATGCACAACAATTTAACCTCGTTGAAGTGAATAAACCCTTGAAACAGTTCATGCATTCTCTGCGTTTGTTTCCTTTAGATTTTACATTAGTTTGCACTTAATTTCAGAAACCTACAACTTCCCTTTTGAATGAACCATAAATCTTCTTTCATCATCGGATCATTTTTTTTTAATTTAAAACAAAAATCAAAACTGTGACATCCTGACCCGCCATCCCTTTAAGGATCAGACGCGGACCACCGATATCAATCCTTTGATGACATAGGTAGCCAAATCAATTCTTATAAGCCTTTCCATATACCGGAAATCGGGATGTTACAAAAACTATACAACACAAAGAAGAAAGGATTCATAAATATCAAATCATTATACTATTCAAAACGACCTTAACAAAACCAAAACGAAGAAGAAAAAAATAGAAAAAGAGCTGCAAGAAACCACTTGCTTATTCTTACTGACTAGTTTTCACTCTTTTCTTTTGCCTTTAACTTATTGGATTGGAACCAAACTTGGAACATAATTGAAAATAAATAGGCAAAATTTATCTTGTAAAACAATGGTTTCTGTGTGATACTCACCATTCCTTTCAATGACGTAAAACTCTGTAGCCATACCTAAAAGTACTACACAAAACCACTTTCTTCTCCTCATCGATTGAAAGACTTGTGAAAACATAAACACGACCTCCAGCACAGTGCAAGTCCACTACAAAGGATTTACTCCATGAAAACTCTGCTTCAGTATCAATTTTCTTGGTCACCCAAATCTCCACCTCTAATGAATATTTTTGCTTACTTAACACTGAGAGCTCTTCTTCCCTAACAACTGATAGCTTCCAACAACCACGATAACGAGGAATATCCAGACGTTTAAATTTCTCTCTTGTAAAATCAAAATTGAGTAAGAAAAGGGAGTAGTCTGTGTAATTATAAGCAAGCCAATAAGTATTACACTTCAACGACACACCATGGAATCTTGTTTTGTAGTTGTCAACGTTGGGAGCATTATAAAGAACTCTCCATAATCAGAGGTAAAGTCAAAGATATGAAACTCGTGAACTTTAGGGCAAGTGAGCCTTTGAACTTTATAGACGTAAAAACAACGTTAAGATCGATGTTCATTGAAAAAAATCCTATATTCCTCCAACATGAAAACATGAGACTGCTAGAGACATTGGAGATGAAAAAGGCGACTAAGCGATAAAAAAGGCAACTAGGGTTTTCATCAAACTTCCTCCGCAAGTCATGGCGACGCCGGGACAGGAGGTCCCCCGCACCGGAGGAAGCTCAGGCAGCGATGGAGATCTCGGTGACGATGGAGAAAGGAGGCAATAGTGGAGAGCACAGAGGAGAAAGCGGTGGACAAACCCCAGAGAACGGATGCGACGAAGGGTTCGAGAGATTGAGTTTCAGCGGATCCTCCGCAGGAATCTCTTCTCAGTGAGCAGGAGATGCGAGTGTCTGGGAAGGAGCAAGGCGACGTTCGGGTGACTAAGTGGTCGGAGATAGTGCAAAGGAAAGAGGTTTTGCAGAAGTATGATCTGGAGGCAAAGGATATTGATGGAGTGAAGGTATTCCGAGTTCCATATTCGATTTTTGAATGAAGCACCAATGTGGGAGGATTGTATCTTGGGGAAGTTCCTGAAAACTGCTCCTCATGTTGGCTCTATTCACATGATTGTGAATAAGATTTGGCATTTGGGTAACAAAGCGGCAAAAATCGATGTGTATGTTGTGAATGCAACAACGGTGAAGTTTCGTATCAACGACAGAGGCATTAGGGATCGAGTGCTTAGGAGAAAGATGTGGAATATCAAAGACGTTTCGATGCTGGTCTCCAAGTGGAGCCCAATAGAGGAAGAAGCTCAGCCGGTTTTAAAATCAATACCGTTGTGGGTGGTGCTAAAGAATGTACCTCATAGGATGTACAACTGGAAGGGGCTGAGTATTTTGGCTAGTCCAGTGGGTGCGCCAAAGCAGCTTCACCCGGATACAGTTTGGGTGAAAGATTTCGATGTTGCAAGGATCTCGGTTGAATTTGACTTGACTAAGGCGTTACCATCGTCCTACTGTTTTCAGATAGAGGGAAAATTGTTGAAATTCAGTATAAATTTCCTTGGGTACCGCCTCACTGCTCAGGATGTGGAGGATGGGGCCATACAGGTGCAGAGTGTAAGGCAAAAAGTGGACCCATAACAATACTTCAACGTAGCCAAACAGTTGCTCCGATGAGCAATGTTATAGGGGTATTGAAGGATACACCAAAATCAAAACAGAGAAGGAGTGCGGAGAAGTCCAAGGCCCTGGAGACTACTTTACCTGTGGAAAAAGCTTTATCGAATTTACTGTCTTCGGTAACGAAGCCGAAGCAAAATGTGGCAGCTGACTCTGTTCCTAATGCGCAAGTAACAGAAGCATCGTTAGCCTCTGTGACTCTGAATTTGGAGAAGGAGATAGCCAAAGACAAAGACGAATGACTCTCTCCCTCAAAGGTATCACGACGGCAGCAGGAGGTTTCACCACCACGAGTGGAGGTTTCCTCTGGTTCACGATTTGCAGAGCTTCTAAATGAGGAAGATGAGACTGAGGAGGAAACAAAAAATGAGGAAAGTGCAGCAGTAGTCGAAACAGGGGAAGAGAGAGATGCGACAGACAAACAAACTGAAGCAATGATTCAATCTCACACTACAAGTGAAAACGATGGGGAATTTATGGAGGGGAATCGAAATTTACTGCAGCGAGCAGCAAAGACAGCTCATAGATATGTAACCAAGTCCTCAACCGCGAGTTCTGTTGCCAATGGTGGTGGAGCTTCGAGACCGAGGAGGAAGAATAACCAAAAAAATAATCAATGAGTTGTTTTTCTTGGAATATTCGAGGATTTAACAAACCGTGTAAACAAAATGTGGTGAAGGAGTGGGTTTCTGGAAACTCGTTTAAGTTTGGCTGTCTTCTGGAAACTCGTGTGCAGGAGGGAAAGTGTTTGAGAATTGCTTCAAAGGTTTTTGCGGACTGGTCTATTGTTTCAAATTACGAATACAATATGCTAGGAAGAATTTGGGTTGTATGGCGCAAGGAGGTGAAACTCACTGTACTACAAAAGAGCGGGCAAATGATCTCTTGTCTGATTTCAATGGAAGACTAGGAAGAGGATTTTATCTGTTCTTTTGTGTATGCGGGAAATTTGGCTAGTGAACGACAGATCTTGTGGGAGGAGATCAAAGCGTTACACGATTCAAATGTATGCAGGCGTAGGAAATGGTTGGTGTGTGGTGATTTTAACGAAACCCTGTCTCCTGAAGACCACTCAAGCTCGGGTTTTCTAGAGACACAGGGATCTAGAGATTTTCGAGATACAACTAGGTATTGCTCTATGGTTGATTTGGGATTTAATGGTCCTTGGTATACATGGAGCAATAAAAAAAGTGAGGGTTTAGTTCACAAGAAATTGGATAGAGTATTGAACAACGAAGAATGGCTGTTAGCTTTTCACACTTCCTATTGTGTTTTTGAAGCAGGGGGCTGTTCTGATCACTTAAGATGCAAGATTTATATTGATGACACTAGGGAGAACGTCAAAAAACCGTTCAAATTTGTGAACGCATTGACAAAAATGCCTGAGTTTCTGCCGGCTGTTGGGGATTATTGGTAACAATCTCCAGCTCTGTTTCAGTCAACATCAGCCCTACATCACCTTTCGAGGAAGTTGAAGGATCTGAAACCAAAGTTGAGGGTACTATCGAGAGAAAGATTTGGGGATTTTTCAAAACGTACAAAGGAGGCTTTTGACGGTCTATGCTTAAAGCAAGAAGCAAATGCCTTTAACCCATCGGTTTTAGGGGTTGAAGGAGAGACGGCTGCGTTTACTAGATGAGAGCATTTGTCAGAGCTTGAAGAGTGCTATTTAAAACAGAAGTCTAAGTTGCAATGGCTGAATATAGGGGATAAGAGCAACAAGATTTTCTTTCGTGCAGTTCGGTTAAGAGAGCAAAAAATTCGATAAGGGAGATAGTTGACTCAGAGGGAAACGTTTTGAAAGACAAGTTAGCTATCAAGGGTGAAGCTGAGAAATACTTTCGAGATTTTCTCTGCCATAATCCGTCGGACTACACAGGCATGGATGTCGATACTCTTGCGACTTTACTAAACAAAAAGTGTTCTCCTGATGACTGTTCACTGCTGGAAAAGGAAGTTACAGTGGAGGAGATAACAAAGGTTTTGTTCTCGATACCAAGCTCAAAATCCCCAGGGCCAGATGGATTCACATCCGAATTCTTTAAAGGGGCTTGGGAAATTATTGGAAGTGATGTCACAACTGCTATTCAGTCCTTTTTCTGATTTGGCTTCTTTCCCAAGGGATTAAACTCTACTCTATTGGCTTTAATCCCGAAAAAGAATGATGCAAAGGAGATGAAAGATTATAGACCGATATCCTGCTGTAATGTTATCTACAAGATAATCTCAAAGATTCTCGCAAACCGACTGAAGACGATTCTCCCAAGCATTATTGCTCCAAACCAATCAGCGTTTGTAAAGGATCGTCTCCTTGTAGAGAATGTACTTCTTGCTTCTGAGCTGGTTCAGGACTACCATAAAGATTTGGGTCCATCACGTTGCGCTATGATGATAGATATTGCAAAGGCTTTTGATACAGTCCAATGGGGTTTTCTCTTAAATGTGCTTGAGGCAATTGGACTGCCTAGCCGTTTTATTGGATGGATCTGATTATGTATCTCGACTGCATCTTTTTCTGTCCAGGTTAATGTGGAACTTGTGGGTTATTTCCAGAGTCAGCGTGGATTACAACAAGGTTGTGCACTCTCGCCTTATCTTTTCGTTCTCTGTATGAACGTTTTATCTAGCATGCTTGACAAGGCTGCCGAAATGAGAAGATTTGGATATCATAAAAATTGCTCAAAGTTGAAGCTCACACACTTGTGCTTTGCGGACGATATTATGGTATTTACAGATGGTAAGCTGCGTTCTTTGAAAGGAATTGTTGATGTTTTTGATAAGTTCACTGCTGCTTCTGGATTGAAAATCAGCCTGCAGAAATCAACGATATATATGGCTGGTATTCCCGAAGGGGATCGTGTAAATATCACAGAGCAATTCCCTCTGACTTCTGGCACGCTTCCGGTTCGTTATTTGAGCTTGCCCCTGATGACAAAAAAGATGACTAAAGATGATTATGCAGTTTTGATAGCGGAGGTTTGAAAACGCATAGGATCATGGACTGTACGACACATCTCTTATGCAGGACGTCTCCAGTTACTTGCCTCAGTAATATCGGGACTCTTAAACTTTTGGATGTCCGCTTTTCACTTACCACAGAGCTGTATGAATGAGATCGATTCACTCTGCAGTGCATTTTTGTGGTCTGGACCAACACTAAGCACAAAGAAAGCAAAAGTCTCATGGTCGGATGTTTGCAAAAAGAAATCAGAGGGAGGCTTGGGATTAAGATCGCTAAGAGAAGCTAACACAGTATGCTGTTTACGGATTGTTAAGTGTATTCTATCGAGCAAGAACTCGCTGTGGGCATCATGGATCAGGGCGTATCTTCTTCGCGGGAAATCGTTTTGGTCACTAAATGAGAGATCAATGCAGAGCTCCTGGATATGGCATCGATTACTTAAGATGCGGGAATTGGCTCGGGGTCTTCATCGCATTAAGATTAATAACGGAGAAGAAACATCATTCTGGTATAATGAATGGTGCTCACAAGGGCCGCTGATTAACATCACGGGCACTTCAGGTTTCATTGCTCTGGGTATACCAGCCTATGCAACTGTCGCATCTGCTATCCGTTCTCACAGACGACGACGTCACCAACGAGACGAGCTGAATCTAATTGAAGATGATCTCTCCTCGGTTGCGATACGAAGAAATACAATGGAGGACCAACACTTGTGGAAAGGAAAAGGCGAACAGTTTCGCGACAGATTCATTTCGAGGCAAACTTGGTACAATATCAGGTACCCACCACCACCTCCAAAAGATTGGTGTTCGATGGTTTGGTTTTCAGGAAATACACCAAAATTTGCTTTCATAACTTGGTTAGCGATGTGGAATCGCCTGTCAACTGGTGAGATAATGGCACAATGGGGAACAGGCATATCAACATCCTGTGTTTTATGCTCTGCTCCAACAGAAAACAGAGCACATCTATTCTTTACATGCACTTACTCGGAACAGGTATGGAGGAATCTAACCAGGAAATTGCTGGGTCATCGGTAGATGAATGTCTGGGACGAGTTAGTGATTCTGCTATCTTCGAATAGTTTGGATAACATTCGACTCTATTTGGTGAGATATGTCTTCCAAATCACTCTTACTTTGATTTGGCAAGAAAGAAATGGGTGCAGGCATGGGGACACTCCGCAGCTGGCACAGAGTTTAATACCGATATTGGACAAGATGATGCGTAATCGACTCAGCTCGTTAAGGCTTGCTGGCGATTACCGATATGATGAGGACCTGTAACTCTGGTTTCGATCCAGAGGATAACTAAACTGTGGCGAAAAATTTCCGTTTTTTTCTCTGTTCTTAAGCTGTTGATCATATTTCTTTACTTTCTTTAAGCAAGATTACGTAAAGAGAACAGTTATTTTGGAATATAATTTAACATATTTTCAAAAAAAAAAAAACATGAGACTGCTTTGCAAGACCTCTGTCTTTGAGTAAAGCATTCCATTGTTTGCAAGTATATCGTAATGGTTTCAAAGATGTGGCTGAAACCCTAGAAAGAATTTCTTGTACCAAATCAGCGGGAAGATTATGCATCATTACTTGTTTCTCTTTTTGTAATCTGATGTAATCTGATCTCTTAAGGTAGAAGAGATGGATTCGATAAGTGAGACACCCTAATCTTGCAAATAAAATCTTACTTAAATTTTACTCAACTAACAGCTTTTTAAATCATAACAAACCTAAATGCTTATTTAATGTCTAAAAGTATTTTATTAAAAACAAGTAAACCGGAAAATGAAACATTTTAACAATAAACCAATTCTAATCCTTTAAAAGAGAAATATAATTTAAAAATTCTTATTGAAAGCAATAAAAATGAAGCATCCATGGTTCCCAGAAAATGACACTGCAACGACCGCTACAAGATTACTCTTTGTTCTCACCTGAAAAAGAAAAGAGGGTGGACATTTGAGATATAATCAGTGAGAGTGTGATTTTGGAGCACATATAGTTCTTAGAAACATTAATTGAAATAGTAAAATGAGTATAAATAATATAAGCAATAAACACATAACAACCTATATGCTCTTAAAACAACTCTACATGTCATGAAACAATCATTTCTATATGCAATAATTCACTTCAAGTCATCCATCCTAACAATGCTATATCACATTCCCAAAGACCTCAGTATAAGATACTCATTCTCCTTTACTTTTCCTTTCATTAACATCCACAGCTCGTCAGCTGTTTGGCCCACTCACTGACGAATTCTTCGTGGAACCATGGCATTACACTTCTCATCATATCTTTCGTGCAACCAACAAACAATACCATGCTCCATGGCTCAACACCCATGACGCTGGCAGCAAACAATCGTGCTAACACGCCTAACAAACATCTACTTTACATAATTATGTATCAACCATCTTTCAAATGCAATAAACAACAATCATCTTTATCACATATATCAAACATACACATATTCCTACTTCAAATAAGGCATCTTATGAATCCACATTTAGTCTTCACCTTGATATCACAGTGAAGAATTGAATCTGGAGAATAGCGGTTGAAATTCAACTATGCGGTACAACAACAATGGTTAACTAGGATTTTCAGATTTGCATGACTTAGCAGTTTCTTGGCCGAGAAGATAAGCCCATAACTTTCGCGTCTCACCTTAGAATTGAAATCTGGAACTTAATCTGAAAAGTTGGTTGCAAGAGCTTCAAACTGATAGGTAGATCGTGATCTGGATCCGTTTAGATCGACGGCAAAACCTCTCTTAAGTTAGTTCTGCGAAATTGGTAAAAATCAGATCTGCAGAACTTTCAGAGTTTGCAGAAGAAAAAATGATTGAACTTGCATATCAGGCGGAGTTTACCTCAGATTGATGATCTGCAAACTGCTATGGCTTCCCTGTAGTGAGATTTTTCCAGAGGTATGCAGATCGGCACCTAACTCAATCTGATTTGGTCGCAAACGATCCGGCAAAACCCTGCTTGTAACTAATTGTTATATCGATGCAGAGGTTTTTCGATCGAGTTTCATTATGTTAACTTTTTGTCCCTAAAAAAAAACATGGCTGGCCCTGAAAACAATAATATAGAGACGGGGTTCGAGCTCATTAGATATAGGGTGAAGGAAAATTACCGATTTACCCTGAAAACAATAATCATCAAACCCCTAACCTCTAAACCACACTATTGTTTTATTTTATTGCAGTTTTTTATTTTTCCAAAACTCTGTGATGGACCGACCGGTCGGATAGATCAATCTGCGATTGGATCAGTATTTTGGTTTGGTTTAAATTTATACTACCATTTAGATTCTAAAAAAGATCGGCAAAAATCAAGATCAAATGCTCAAATGGCCTTAAGATGGTTTCTTCTGATCATTTCTTCTATTAATCTTGTCTTTTAGATGGGCTTTGCTACTCGATTTCGAGATTTCAAGATTTTCAATAAATTTTGAATAATACAAGAATATATGTACATATTAAACTTGTTTTCGAAGTCTAAGAAGGTCTTACAATGATGCACCAAATAGCTTAGAAAAACAAAGACAAAACTAAAGAACTTGAAAGAGATTGACTCTGTTTTTCTTATAACTCAAAAGTGTATTTCACAATGGATAGCTGAGCTTTATAGGCTCCTACATATATCTTTTAAAACAAGAAATAAAAAAGAAATAAATTAATATGAATACAAATAAATCAACCCAAATATAAATAAATCACCCTAAATGATAAATTAATCAAAAGCTTGATTGATATCGTGGTCTTTTATGATGGAATTTGGTCAAATGAAAAAAAAAAAAAGTGAATCTTCCTTGTATCTAGAAAACTTGGACATGAATCCATGATTTTTTGAAAGCCTCTTGTAGGTGTAGAAGGTATTCATCAGATTTTGACATCAATTCCCTAAGGTCATGCCTCTTCGAGATTCATACGCACAACAACATTCATCGACTGTAGTTGTTGTAACCAAGTATTGTGCGGAAAGAAAGAGATACGAGTTAAGATATAACCGAGACAAGCCAGAATAAAACTAGAGCTTTATGAGTGGTGTTAGACCCACTGTTTTAAAACAACATAGCTTCTTAGTTATTTCAGTAAGAGATTGCATCCACGGTTAAGTTATCTTATCATTTCGAAATGTGGACTAAGTAGAGAGTTTCAGTTGGAGAGGCAAAACCTGAGACCAAAAAGGCATAAAAACAGTGCCATTTTCATGCGTATGGCATTTTCATAGTACCAATGTTATCACCATTTTTACAAGTTGAACAAACTGCCTTTTTCAGCTTGTAATTGTTATATCCCCTTAAACCACAAGCTCTGCAAACCTGCATTAAAATTGTTTTGTTAGCGTACAATTCCACTGACATAAGTGGTGAAATGTGATTCAAACTTGAGAATAAATGAGAATTATTACTGGTGTGTCAGTTTTAATTTCTGAGTCACTTAGATTTTTTATCTAGTTAATTTGGACATAATGCGTTAGTGGGGAAATGGGGAAATCTCTTTATCAAAACAAACCTGTATTAAAATTGTTTGTTAGATTTTTTTTTCAGTTATGTTCTCTTTTCTTAATTTTTGTAATCTCTTTCAGTTTTAATCATCAGAGAATAAAAAGTATTATTCAGCAAAAAAAAAAAAAATTCTTCTTTATTTTTTCTCTGTTCTTTGATCTCTCTGTTCCAACATTGTGGTATCAGAGCTTTAGATTTCGATCCCTTTCATCCTTTCTAAAAGAAAAAGTCATGGGAGGCAATGGAGCAAATCAGAAAGGTCTGGTTCCTTTATTTAAATGTGGAAAGTATCATCTTTGTAGTCTTAGATGAAAACAAAGTTCAGATCCCAAGAGATGTGGGATATGGTGGAGAATGGATTTGAAGATGCAAATTCTGGGGATCCTGATCAGCGGTTACGAAAAAATCGCAAGAAGGATGCAAAGGCGCTGTTTTTGATTCAAACAGCTTTAGATGAAGACATACTATCTCGGATTTCAGCAGTGAATACATCTCATGAAGTATGGGAGATCCTGAAGCGGGAGTACATGGGATATCAAAAAGTGGTCAACATCAAACTATAGACTCTTTGTCATCAGTTTGAAACACTTTTGATGAAGGAGAAAGAAACGATGCAAGAATATTTGGCGAGAGTTTCAGCCATTGTCAATGATAACTAAGAGTTTTTTTGGGCTCTTTGTAGAGGTTATCAATCCCATGTCTTGTAGTACAAGGGGTTATCAATCCAAACTTGTGTATGAGGCACTAGTCTATGTTACTTGTGTTCTTAAGTCAAGATGATCAAGCAAGAGTTTTTATCTAATCTACTTAACAAGCGAATGAAAGTGAAATAAGAGATGGTATTTAAACTAGATGAAGATGCAAATAGCGATAAATAAACAAGCAAATGATCGGATAATGATGATATATGATAAAGACAGAAGCTTTAGACAGGATAAAAGACTTGGGTGCTTCCAAGCTAAACTAGCGAGTTAATGAACCAGTATTGTCGAGCGGTTTCATTTAACATGGACTCAGAATATGTTAATCTTCTCATGAAAGTATTAAACATCTAAACTGATCCTCTTTCATACCAAAATATCTTTTGAGAAGCATGAATCAGTCAGCTTTAAGATCCAGTTCAATAAGTCATTTAAGAGTTCAAATTATCACTCTCGCGATGAAAGACTCTTAAACCTTTACCCGAGTGGTTCAGACATTTCTACGAACACTTTTGATGCGAGATATGTCTCAGATCTGTACCTCAAGTGATGTGCTTGGATCCAGCTTAGAGATCTCGTCGGTTAAAGAATGAAACATGCAAGACTAGACCCCTAAACTCACTAATCTATCATGAAAGCACCCTAATCTACCTATCTAAAGCCGCTTAAACGACTACTCACTGATCATAACGAGCTCACTAAATCCTTTGCAAGACGTGTAGCTAGTCATGATAAGGAGTTTGATGCTGGAGAATAAAAGAAATAAACAAGAACAAGATTCTGACGTGAAAACGAGATATCGGATTAGATTAATCAAGTTTCACAAAAGAGGCAAGTTCTTAAAGCTAATATAGGCAGGAAAATAAGATAAGATAAAGATCATTAGGTTTCTGGTCCTAAAATCTATTTATAGTGAAGGGTAAGTGTCGCGGGTCAGCCCGGAACAAACCGGGTACTGAGCGCTCTTCTTGGGTCATCGGGTGAGCACCACGGTGTGTGAGAAA